AATTGGTAGAGCCTCACAACACTTCCAAACATTGAGAGCCAAAAGCACATAAACCACAGGCAAAGTAATTAATTCCAGCCACGCAGAGTGTTAGACTGATAGTTATTACTCACGAGAGGAGGTAGGAGGTCTCCGATGACTGCCTATAAACACTATTTACTCAAATACCAGGTCTGCCGGCAGGGCGGGTATTACAGAGTTTTGAAGGTGCTGAGGAGTTTTACTTCTGTTGAGTTTCCGTTAATATCAAGATACTTGCTGGGATTAACTGTTGCCTGTATTGAAGAGGTCCAACTATAGCTAGGGAAACATTGAAGTTTTCCATTTAACAGTAGATGATAACAAAGTCCAAAACTCCTTGACATGGCCTTTGAAGTAAAAAGTGTTCAACATCTATATGCATCTACCATGATGCTGGTGGCTGTTAAAAACAAGAAGAGGAGGAAGAGGAGGAGGAAGAGGAGGAGGAGGAGGAGGAAGAGGAGGAGGAGGAGGAGGAGGAGATTGAGGGGCAAGATACCAAGGCATTCTATTGGAAATAGTACATGAGCCAGAGTCCATTTCTGCCCTTCCCTACCTCCTCCCCACCCCTATGTGGAATACCGCCCCAGGTTTTATTTTTCTGTTTGCTTTCCTACCCCTGTGCGTTTGCTTAGAGGCTATCTCTGCCTGGAAAGCTCTCTATCAGCTTCTGTGCCTTCTCCAACTCCACCCACGTGGCTGCGTTGCTTCTTCATCTGTACTCCATGTCTCTCCTTTTACTGGCACAGTGACTGAGCTGTCACTGCACTGTGTTACTGTCAGCTGTGTGCCTCTCTCCCAGGAGTGTGAACTCCTGAGGGTAGGGACCAGATCAATTTCTATTTTTCTGTGTGTATTCCTGGCTTCCAGTGGACAGTACCTATCCACACAGTATTGTGTATTCAATACACATTATTGAATAAACAAACAAACAAACAAACGATAGCATTTTCAAGAGGAAACCAAAAGAGAGAAAAGATTGAAAGAGGAAACTGTTTTCACTAAAAGGAATTTGCCAATATAATGTGAAAACGTGTATATCTGATTGTGAATCGAGAACCATAAAAATAATTCTTCCCAAAATAGGTATTTTTTTTTAACAAAAGATGCTAATCGTCAAAGGGCTTGGATATTATTGACTCTAAAAGCAATTCTACCCCAAAACACAATGTAATCAAGCAGGAAAAAGTCCTGAAATAGAAAATGCTGATGCCTAGAACACATTTGATTGGATTTTTTTTTCCTCAAGGGAAAAGGTATTTTTTCCTCAAGGTGGATAAAGTTGCAAAGAAATTTAAATTTCTCATCATACTTAAGTCTGGCCAGGCCCAGTGGCCATGTTTAATTGCTCAGCAGAGTTTCATCCAATGGATTTCAAGTTTGTGGAGAATACTTAGAGAGGGGTCCAGTGAACTAATATTACCCATGAGTTGTAATTATGATGGCAATCAGAGTGATTTGTAACATATGTACTAGGATATCTAAGGACCATTGTTCTGAAGGTACTGTCCTTGAGAGGCCATAATTTTTTTTCCATTGATGCTGTTACAGGGCAAAACTCTTCCAGATTCATTTCCAAAGTCATGTGTCAGCCATCCAAGATTTGAGAGAAGAAACTCACATAAGACTAAATGTATTCTGGGTTGTTCCAATGAGAACACTAAACTATCTGGGGTGATTTTTCAAGAGATCAGTTTCAACGCAATAGAAAAGAATTTTTTTTAAAGATTTGACCAATCCAACAATGAAATGGATATTTCCTAATGTATAATTTTCACTGCAAGTGTTCAAGTAAACCCTCGATAACCACTTAAAGAAGTGATGAAGAGAGGATTAATGTATTTCAAAGCCCCTTTGAAAGCTGAGAACCTGTGATTCAAAGAATATCTGGGTAATTATTTTATAGTCACACTAAATGTATATTACAGTCTGCATGCATCAAGCCAGGTGTGTGCTCAAACATCACCTTGTTACAGCGATCTTTATCTATATGAACTATCACACACACACCCCGTCTCCTTTCTTCTCTCTTTCTTTCTCACCTTCTCTCTTTCTTTCTTTCTCTCTTTCTCCTTCTATTTCTCTCCATAGAGCCTTGGTCTGATATGTTTTTGTATTTATTTATTTATTTGTATATTGTTTCCCCTGACTAAAGAATGTAAGCTCCACGAAGGAAGGGATTTGGTTTGTTTTCTTCACTGCTCTAACCCCAGCACCTAAACTGGAATCTGTCATAAAGTGTGTGTTTAATAGATTATCAAATTAAAATACTACTAAAATGTTACAGAAAAATTACACACGTGAGAGAGACAGTGAGAGGAAGGAAGGAAGAGAGCAAAAGCCATAATTCCACTATTTTGAGGTACATAATTATAGGCTCTTTGTAGTTTCTTCTCATCTCTTTGCTTTCAAAGAAGTTTTTATATAGTTGTAATCATCATTCATCGTTTTACCTAAAACATTTTATACAGCTGAAAAATTCTCATCTCATTCACCAAATGTGACTTATAGTGATTTGATGTCATTTCCAAAAACTAAACCCATTTTCACATTTAAAAAAGATATGTAGGGATCCCTGGGTGGCACAGCGGTTTGGTGCCTGCCTTTGGCCCAGGGCGCGATCCTGGAGACCCAGGATCGAATCTGATGTGGGGCTTCCTGCATGGAGCCTGCTTCTCCCTCTGCCTATGTCTCTGCCTCTCTCTCTGTGTGTGACTATCATGAATAAATAAATTTTAAAAATCTTAAAAAAAAAAAAGATAGTGACCAGTAAGGCTACACAAAAGACATATGCCACAGCCCAAAGAAAACCAACAAGCTCACTATTTCTAATTTCATAATCATCTCATCAGTATCATTGAAAAGAGTCATAGTTATTTTTGGAAGCAGAATAGCATCATGAGCTAAGATCATCATAGCCAAAACACTCTTGAAAAAAAAAAAAAAGAAGTTGGAGGACTTATACCTCCTGATTTCAACATGGACTACAAAGCTATAGCAATTAAGACAATGTGGTATCAGCATAAAAAATAAACACATAGATCCACAGAACACAAGTGACTCTCCTGAAACAAGCCCTTACATTATGGCCAATTAATTTTCCACAAAGGCAGCCACGCACTTCAGTAGGGGAAAGTATAGCCTTTTTCCCAAAGAGATGCTAAGCCAATCGGATGCCTGTATGCAAAAAGATGAATTTAGGCCCCTACGTTACACATATGCAAATATAAGGTGATATGGGTAACAGACTTAATTATGAACACCTAAAACTGTAGAACTCTCAGAAGGAAAACATAGGAATGACTTGGATTAGGAAAATATGTCTTAGCTGTAACACCAAGAATTCAAGTGGTAAATGAAGAAAATTGATAAATTGGACTTCATCAAAGTTAAAAACATTCACTCTTCAAAAGACACCAGTAGACAACTCAAAATTGCAGAATGGAAGAAAATACCTGCAAAGCATATACTTGCTACAGTCCAGAATATATTCTAGAACTCTTACAGGCCAAGAAGAAGAAGATGATTGAATTTAAAATGAGTGTAAGATTTGTTCCAAAAAAATTTCATCAAAGGAGAGACGGACACATGAAATGATGCCCAACATCACTAGTTACGGGAGGAATGAAAATTAAAACTGCAGTGAGATATATTTCACACCCACTAAAATTATAATCAGAAAGACGGGCAGGAACAAATTAGGATGTGGACAGTCCGGAACTGATGTCATTGCTGATAGGAACGTAAATGGGACAGCCATTTTGGAAAACAGTTTGGCAACTTCTTGAAGAGTTAGATTTAAATGTGCCCTTTAACGAAGCAGTTCCTCCATTATGTAGCTACCCAAGAGAAATGAAAACATACGGCTACACAAAGACTTGCATGTAAATGTTCACAGCATTATCTGTAACAACCCAAACCTGGAAACAACCCCAATATTCACCAACTCCTGAATGTAATAAACAAAATATGGTATATTGCACGTGTTAAGTGTATACTTTTATGCACACACATCTGAACAGCTCTTATCTATCGGTATGCTAAGATGATATATGGATGAAAACCTGTAAATCATTTATTTATTTTTCACACTCAAAAGAATACAGACATATATATAATCGCATGTTAGAATCTCTTCAGTTTTCAGCCCAGATACAAATCTGGGTTCAAATTCTAGTTCCACCACTTTTTTAGCTCTGTGGCCGTGGGCTAGTTACTTGTGCTAATAAAATAAGGATGATGGTATACACCTCACAGGACTGTGGCATTAAATGAAATAAAATATATAAAATGCTTAGCACTAACAAGCCATACCCAGTATTATTATTTGTCTTTTTGGAGTTTTATTTTCAAATCTAATTGTTTACTAATACTTTCAGCTGAGGAGAAGGAAGCCATTTCATTGAGTGGAGAAAGCCACTTCTGTACGTCTAGCTGTCTGACTTCAAAGTTTTCACTTAAACTCTCAGAGCTTCAGTTTCCAAAATCTGTAAAGGAGGACAATCACCTCGCAGGACTTGTTATGATTGGTGCCTTGTAAACTGCAAAATACAATAAAAGTTTAAAGGTGCTGTATTATTACAGCCTTCTGCTACCATCACTGCCACCCACAGTATGTTTCTGGAAGAACCCGAATAACCACTCATAACAGAGTGATGTATAGTCATTTCTCAACCTCTGAGACTATAATCAAAAGATCTTTTCATGGCCCTGGTGGTGGTAGCGAGTCCTTTTCAAAATAAGTCTTATGCCCCTGTTGTTTGAATACAAAGTGAGGACTGTGTTACTCCCTATCTGAAGCACTCTCTGCCTGTCCTCATGAGCTATCGGGCTCAGCTAAATATGTCCCTGGCCAGTATGTTAATAATCCCCACTGGTTCTGAGACCTCCATCCACCGCCGATGTGACATTCTTTGTGTTCAAATGTCTAGCTGACGTCTGCTGCTTAAAACAGCCCATGCTTTCACCCCCTCTCTGCATTGTCACGGCCCTGTCTCACCGCTCTTAAAAGGCCACTCCTGGCTCCAGTTGCCGACCAGCCTGCCCACTTGCCTCCCGGCCTGCCTGCCGGCTGCCTCGGATGCCTGCCTCTTCCAGTTCCGTGGGGGTCTAACAAGGCAGGACCATGTCTACCTTTGGCTACAGGAGAGGACTTAGCAAATATGAATCCATCGACGAGGATGAACTTCTGGCTTCCCTGTCAGCTGAGGAGCTGAAGGAGCTAGAGAGGGAGCTGGAAGACATTGAACCCGATCACAGCCTGCCCGTGGGGCTAAGGCAAAAGAGTCTGACCGAGAAAACCCCCACGGGGACGTTCAGCAGAGAGGCACTGATGGCCTATTGGGAAAAGGAGTCCCAAAAACTCCTGGAGAAGGAGAGGCTGGGGGAGTGTGGAAAGGTAGGCTCTCGGGTTTTTACTTAGTGGCTCCCACCCTCGGCCCCCACCCCCAACCCAGGAACCCGTTTTCCCTAACTTTACAGCCTGCTTCACTCGTAACCTTTTCTCGTAACCCATTTGCACCTGCTACTGAAAGATTCCTCAGGAATCCCCCACCCCCACCCCAGTGGATCAAAGTATGTAAAACTCTTAGCTGGGATCCTTTGAGTGACTTTAATCAATCAGGATGGAAAATAATCCATGGGTTTAGATATATTGCCAAACATAAGTCTAATTTAGGCTGTAAGTTGCTAATGCAGCATAGTGTCTGTGACTGTATATATAGAGAGAGAAAGAAAGAGGGAGAAAGAGAGAGACATATGTATACATATATGTGTGTAAAGACAGAAGTGAGTATTCTCTGGTTGCTTTGACTGTGATGGTGGCTACAGTAAAAATAATTCTTTGACTTCCAACACCAAGAAGTAAGCGGAGGTGGAAAGGACATGGCAATGAGAGCCGGTTGTTAGGCCTTGAACAGGGAGTCATCTCTGCAGAGTTCTCTTTTCCATCCATCCATGGAGGGAGTTGAATCCAGGGTTTCTTTTGTAAATCAAGAACCCCTTTGAGATTTTGATAAGTTAGGGGCCTTCTCCTTAAGAACGGTGTGCTTGTGCATACATACACAAACTTTTACATGGAATTTCAAAATGGCAACACACATCCTGACGCCCACCTGAAGACCCATGTTAGGCACACCTGGTAGGTGACCGCTAAGATTCGTTTCTACTTTATAATGGTGACTCTGAGACCAGGAAATGTTCTTCTACTAAAGCTCAGGTCTGTTAAGTTTTGTTTTCTGCCCAGGAAACAGTTCCTTTGAATTTTAGGTTACTTAAAGTTACTTTGAATTTGCCTAATAAGTCATTATCAGAAGAAAGTTCAAAAGACTATGTTCTGGGAAAATAGTAACGGCAATAACACTGTTAATAGTGTATAATAAAGTCCTGAATTTCAGGTCAGGAGCAACGGTTTAAAACCTCTGGGCTCCACTAGCATCATCTAAAATCAAAATGGCCCAAAGCCAATGGCAAGACTTCCACAGTACTAATCTAGGCACTGTTAGATGATCTTGATGATAGGGTGTGTGGGCTACATTTGTAGCAAGATATGTGTGAGCCTTGTTCATGTCAATCATCACGGGAAGGGCCACTGGGATCAGGCCAGGGTCTGCCAAGGCCACGGTGGCTGTCTGCACTGGGGGCAGGAGGGTGGTGGGGAGGCCGGAATTGGGCTGGTCAGTTCCTCCACAACCATGATTCTTAGAGGTCTTTTTTAAAATTTTTCCTGATGTGAGAATATGTGTCAAAAGTCTGACAAAATTTGTAAAATATAACATTTTTGTTATGGTCCTTAAAGAATTTCCTTGATAAAAAGATGAAAATTGCCACAGAATATTCAGGAGAGACTGCCATCGTAGCAGTAACCCAGCAAAGGCATTTTCATGTCTTAGTGTCTTGAGATCAGTGGGAGATCAAGGGCAAAGCTTGTTGTCAGTTATGACGGGATGCATCCTGATCCTGCCAAAGGTTTTGCTGATCCCTGCCAATGTCTTATCAGCTCAATTAGAGAGGCTGTGTGTTGATGAACTTTGATTCCTTTCTCCGGAGTTAACTTTTCTCCCACTGCACTCTCCCAGCTGGCCAGCTGTCTCTGTAGTCACAAGGAGTCCTGAGCAGAAGCCTGGGGATGGAGGGTGTAAACTCATCCCCACCACAGGACAAAGCTCAAGACAGCTGGCGGGTGGGTGGGGGCTGGAGTGGCCATATAAGGAAGAGCAGTGCAGAACGGACCAGGAGAAGGAAATGAGGGTCTTTGTTATAAGGCTATCGGCTCTGTAAAGACTTACAAAAATCATGTTCAGTGCCTATTGAATGACGGACTGTGCCCTTGTGGGTCCACGCAGATTATGCTCCCTTAAGCTCCAAGGGGCCTTGGAGACCAGAGGGTCTGGCTCCCCTAACTTGAGTATCTGCTGGGTGACAGGCAGAGGGGCCAGTGAGTTCACTCACAAGATTACAGGGAATTGTCACCTTCTGCGCATGAGAACTGAGATGAGGGGAGGTTAAGAAATTGAGTTGAAGCGAACAGCTTATAAGGAGAGCAGACATTCAAATGGAGGTCTGCTGGTGCCGAGATTGCCATTCTCAAAATGTGGGTGCCCAACCCTTCAGCATCACCTGGGAATTTCTCAGACGTACTCATTCTCGGGCTCCCCCAGGCCTCCTGGGAGTGGGGCCCAGCCTTCTGTGGTCTCAATAGCCCCCAGGGGTGATTATGACACACACTACAGTTAAGGACCACGCAACTGTACCATGGCTTCTCTGAGACTTCTCAGAGCTTTACCGACTTGACTACACAGTCAGCCAGCTCTTCCGGGGTAGACTCAGAACCAGAACTAAAAATCAAGCACTCTCCCCTCCTTGTTTATGTGATGATGCCAGGGAGGTGATCAGGAGACACGGTTGGCCACCCCTTCTTGTTGCCTTATATATTCCCTAAGAGTGTCAACATTTGCCTTCTCTATACTCACCCCTCAGGCCGCACCCCATCCCCGCCCTCCCACCCCCATTCTCACAAGGATCAAGGCTAACTCCAGAGCAGTGGCAGATAGCAGACCTGAAGCAGTGCAGTCAGTCCAAATGCCAGATAATACAGGAAGTAGGCAAAGCCTGCTTTTTCACATCCTCTTATTTCCCTCTCTAGATATTCTGGTATCCTCCTAGATGTCCCCCACCTGGGGCAGCTAGCCATCCCAGATTGTCTGGGACTATTCAGGCTTAAGAACTACAAATCCTGCACCCTGGGAAACCCCACAGTCCCAGGCAAGCCAGCACAGTCACCCACCTAGCCCTGGCCTTGTCCTGACTCTCAGTGGCTGGTAGACAATGTCCATTTAGATCCATTCAGTCAACAAATATTTATAGAACCCCTACCACATGTTCAACACTGTGCTAGGTGAACAAACCAGACATGATCCTTGTCCTCACCCAAATAACAATCTTTTGGGAAAATGACAAACAAGTAATTAAAATAGGTACCTATTTAGTGGGGGAAGTAGAATGCCACATATGACGAAGAATATGAGGAGATAACGTGAGGAGGCATCAAAGAAGGCTTTCTGGAAAAAGTGTCATTTGGATGTTACATGACAACTCATCGCTGGATAACAGTTGCAGATATTGTCTCTCTCAGACACGTTTTGAGGGAAAAACATCTCTTGAAACCGAAGCCCAGAGGTCTTTTAAAAAGCAAAGGGGATAAAATTTAATAGTGGCATGAAAGGCAATATATCTTAGATTTTGAGACAGGTAGGTCTCTTTTCTCCAAATGTTGAAACAGCTAGAACTTCACACAAACACAACATGCACGCACTATCCCCCTTCCTCCTGCTCCTGAAGAAGTGAGTAAACAGAGACCAGCCAACCATCCCAGGAGCGGCTGACCCCTGCCCCAGGCCATCACTTGGTGCCTGCCACTCCAAACAAGTGGATAACTGGAGGCTGTTTTGTGGTAGCAACTGGGCAAACAAACCCGGAGACACTGTACAGTGTTTTCCAAAGCTCATTCCACATGTCTCAGGCAGCAGAAGCCCTGGGGGTTAAAAAAAAAAAAAAGTTGCCAATGTAGAGGGAATGACCTAGGCTTTGGGGAAAAGGGAAGGATTGAGGCTTTAGAGGAGATAAAAGAAAGGACTAAACAGATGGCATTAGGGGAAATTCGACTCTATCAGCAATTTCCAGAATTCTTTTTTTATCAGAAAAGATAGTAAAAGAAAGAAAGAAAGAAAGAAAGAAAGAAAGAAAGAAAGAAAGAAAGAAAGAAAGAAAAGAAAGAAAGAGAAAGAAAGGAAAGAAAGAAAGAAAGAAAGAAAGAAAGAAAGAAAGAAAGAAAGAAAGAGAGAAAGAGGAAGGAAGGAAGGAAGGAAGGAAGGAAGGAAGGAAGGAAGGAAGGAAGGAAGGAAGAAGGAAGAAAGAAGAGGTCACTCGGCATCTTAGTACAAAGTCTCATAAGCAGGAAAAAAGACAGAATTAAGGCTGTGTATGCCCGAAAGTCTTTCATAATTGATACATGGTAAATAATTGAAGACCATCAGGCCGGGGCAATGGCTTGCCTCAAGATTTCCTACTGGTCTCTGCTGTTTCATGCTATGGTTAGAATCTGGCTAGTGCCAGCGGCGATTATCGTTCCCACCCCGTGTCTCCTGCAGTCCGTCTCATTTAACCCTGCGCTAGCTAGCGTGAGATCTCGAGTCAATGTGCAGCAAAGGGTGACCCGAATGTTTTTCTGCGGAGCTAGGTTGTGACCTGCTGCTGCCATGAGCAAATGGCCCCCCTGCCCCCTGGGCTTCCCTTGCCACAGCAGCAACAGAGACAGCCGCAGGTCTCAGCTGGTGGTGGTGGTGGGGGGGGGTGTCTCTGAGACCCCGAGCCAGGCTCTACCCCAGAGGCACATTAATGTTGGAGAAACGAAGGACGCCCACACAAGCCATCGACCAAGGGCACAGAGCACTCGGCGACTGTCCCAGCTGCTACGAGAGGCAAATTTGAGGCAGAATTTCTGAACTTTACAAAAGGGAATCCATTTCCATGTTGTGTATTTTTGTTGCCATTTGTTCATTAGAGATGGAGAAATAGGGAAGGACAGAGGAGGGATTCCAGAAGCGGGGGCTGGATTTGCTCAGTTCTAAGCAGACAGGGAGTCAGGGAGTTCTGAACAAGTGGTTGAGAGAATGGGAAACGGACCAAGGGTTTTCCAAAGCTGAAGTTCCCACTCGTTTGTTCAAATTGGCAAAAACGATTGCAAATGTTGACATAATACGCAGAATCCTGGATATTTATTCCTCAGGGAAGAAAAATGTTTGCCTGCAAACAACCGTTGAAAGTTCTGCAGTGAAGGGTTTACCCTGCCGGCCCCAACCAGGGAGCTCAGAGGCGAGAGCCCAACCTTTGCCTCACCTGCTTTTGTGTCATTTGCCACGCGTCATTTCCCTTTTTTATTTTCCAGGGATACAGTCGGCGTAGAAACACTGTTTGGGTTGTAGGTGTGGAAAGTAGTGATTCCACATGTCGCAAAAAATCACGCGTTACTTTTGTAAGTCTAAAAACCTGGTGCTTAGAAATGACCGAGTTGACGCTGTCGTGCTCTCCAGGTGGCCGAGGAAGAGGACAAAGATGAGAGCGAGGAGGAGCTGATGTTCACGGAGACGAACAGCGAGGTTTCCGAGGAGGCGTACACCGAGGAGGAGGAGGACGAGGAGGACGAGGAGGACGAGGAGGACGAGGAGCGCGAGGAGCGCGAGGAGCGCGAGGAGCGCGAGCACGCGGCGGAGCGGGGAACAGCGGGAAAGCAGAAAAGCATCAACGGAACAGCCAGTCCCGGAAGCGGAAGCGGAAGCGAAGCGGAAGCGGCGGTCCTGACAGCGCCGCGCCGCAGACGTTTCGAAGCCAAATAGAGGACGTCCATCTGACCAACGGCCACGGTGGGAGGAACGCGGAGCCCCCGGCTGCCGCTCACCCCTGCGGGAACCCCACGGCCATCGAGGAGACCCTGGAGAAGATCAGGAGCAACGACCCCGACACCACGGAGGTCAACCTGAACAACATCGAGAACATCGCGCCGCAGACCCTCGCCCGCTTCGCCGCCGCGCTCGCGGCCAACACGGCGGTGAGGACCTTCAGCCTCGCCAACACGCGCGCCGACGACAGCGCCGCCGCCGCCATCGCCGAGATGCTCCGCGTCAACCGGCACATCACCAGCGTCAACGTGGAGTCCAACTTCCTCACGGGCAAGGGCGTCCTGGCCCTCATGAGGGCCCTGCAGCACAACACGGTGCTCACCGAGCTGCGCTTCCACAACCAGCGCCACCTCATGGGCAGCCAGGTGGAGATGGAGATCGTCAAGCTGCTCAGGGACAACACCACGCTGCTGAGGCTGGGCTACCACTTCGAGCTCCCGGGACCAAGAATGAGCATGACGAGCCTCCTCACGAGAAATATGGATAAACAGAGGCAGAAACGGAGGCAGGAGCAAAAACAGCAAGAGGGCTGCGACGGGGGAGCCAACCTGAGGACCAAAGTCTGGCAAAGGGGAACCCCTGGCTCCTCGCCCTATGCGTCTCCCAGGGACTCTCCCTGGTCATCCCCCAAACTGCCCGCGAAAGGCCACTCGGCGGCGGCGGCGGCGAGGCGGCCTGCGTCCCCCGCGGCGCCCCCCGCGCCCCCGCCGCCGCCCCCGCAGAAGCTGCCGCCGCCGCCGCCCCCGCCCCCGCCGCCGCCGCCCCCCCGCCGCCCCCGGAGAAGAAACTGATCACGCGAAACATCGCAGAAGTCATCAGACAACAGGAGAGCGCCCAGCGGGCGTTACAGAATGGACAGAAAAAGAAAAAAGGGAAGAAGGTTAAGAAGCAACCAAACAATATCCTAAAGGAGATCAAAAATTCCCTGAGGTCAGTGCAAGAAAAGAAAGCGGAAGAGAGTTCCCGCCCTTCTACGCCCCTGAGGTCAGCTCACGAGAACCTCATGGAAGCTATTCGGGGAAGCAGCATCAAGCAGCTGAGGCGGGTAAGTCAGCCCCAGGGCAGCTTGGGGGCGCACGTGCAGTAAGTGACTGAGCCTCGGTGGCTCGAGGGCACGGGGGGGGGGGGGCGGGGAGCTCTAGAAATGTTGAGCGATGAATGTTTAAGATATTTTGGTATGCAGGAGCAAGCCTCCAGGCCTGGAGCCGAGGAGCAGGTCAGCAGGGAGGGAGGGAGCACGTTTCCAACGTCTGACAAGGGCGCCTGGGCCACCTTCTCAGCACCTCGGTTCTGGAAGGGCCAGGCCGATTTTAAGACACTCCGGCATGTAAACATCCTGATTTCCTTAATAAGAAAATTGGGGAATAGGATTTACATTCCGAAACAGAGTCATCACTTGGCAAAAATTTTACCGCAGAAGTTGCAAGTGATTTACAACCTCATTTTTTTTTTAAGGATTTTTATCTATTTATTCATGATAGACGTAGAGAGAGAGAGGCAGAGACACAAGCAGGCTCCACGCAGGGAGCCCGATGCGGGACTGGATCCCGGGACTCCAGGATCGTGCCCTGGGCCAAAAGCAGGCGCCAAACCGCTGAGCCACCCAGGGGTCCCTACAACCTCTTTATGTTACACAGTCTGAGTATCGAGTATCACACGATACGGCAGTGATCGGTCTATGCGATCCGAGTTTGTCTCAGAGGACCCTGCCAGAGACATGCCCTACAGATATTTTTCACTTTCTCATTTGTGTTGTTTTATTGAAAGAAAATCCCCTATTTTTATAGGTGGAAGTTCCAGAAGCTCTGCGATAAAAACATGATCTTTAGAAGAGGATGAAGAACCATTCGGTGGTATTAAATAAGATGCATTGTGAGATGTTTCTATGATCCCTTCTTCAATTTGAAATGTTTCCTGACTTTAATAATAGCCTTACCCGTTAATCCCAAAAAAAAGAATTTTAAGAAACAATCGGCATGTTTCTTCTGTAAATATGAAAATAAACTACTTTTTTTTTATGTTATGAGATTTCTGTTGGCAAAAAGCGGTTTATTTAAAGATGCGCTTATATCTCTGGATATGTTGATAACTCCGAGCTGTAATGAGCTAATGAAATGTGCTGTTATTTTTGTAATCCCAATAAATTTGGATTGAAGTTTTTGGGTTTTTTTTTTTTTTTTAAGAACAAACCAGTTTTTGTGTGTGTGAGTTGATACATCCGTCAAGTATGTATGTAACATTGCCAAATATTAAAACTATTACATTCTCACCCTAAAAGGGTTTGGATCCTTAGCATTTTCCTTTCTTCGTTGTTTTCATGTCTAAGAAAATTCGATCAGAGCTCTTTCTAAAAAGTCTGAAATAAAAATTTTCCTAAAAGTCTTCTTGGCAGTGAGGTAAAAGCTCTAGAAGATCCCAAAGTGGCCGCTATCATCGTGGATGCATTGATACTAGACCCAGGGTGTCAGCTGACACCCCCACATTCCCCGAAAGGCTGATTTGTACCCAGGAGTCAACTGAATATTTACAACTATTTCTGGAAGAAAAAAAAAAATAAAGGAAAGCTTCTTGGTAGAGGAAATAGTGTTCGGGGAATTCCTAGAACATAAGCCCTGAATTCAGAGCTATCTTGTGGCTGATACTAAAGGCTCACTGCTCAAGTCTCCCTTTGAACTCTCCTGGTGGGCCTCTGCCGTCTTCTGCCCTACACAGGTGGTGATGCGGACATCCCTGACACACATCCTTGACACACATCCCAGGACAAAGGCACATGCGTTTCTAATCCCCGAATATCATTGGATTCCCACCACCTCTCTCTCAAGGAAGGTCTGAATTCAAATAACGCCCGAGATTACCCTCATCCCACCCCCGTGCTCCACTCCAGTTTATGAAAGCTATAAATCTCTTCCAAAGTCCTTTGTATTAACTAAGATTAGCAATGTTTCCCCTGTGACCTGCAGAGTCTAACAGTGCTCCTGGCAAAGCTCTCTGGGCCACCCATTCAATAATTGTTTGTTCTACTTACAAAGCTCTGGATTATCTCCAATCAAGAGGATTGTATGTCACTAGGAAATTTGTCCAAAAGTTCTTGGCTTTGTTTCTTTTAGTCTGTTTCTATCATTCTGCCATTCTCTTACTCTGTGAGCACCACCTATGTAATGTCTTACGGAGGGTGCCAGAGGCCTGTGAGCTGAGTCAGGACTCTGGCTCCACGTGAAGAGTGATTGACACTTTCTGAACTATCTGAATTTTCTCATGTATACTTTTCCCCAAAATGTGAAAAGGTGAAAAACCAAACATAATATATAAATAGTCCGTGATAAGACAGGTAAGATGTGATCAGATACTAAGTGGGTACATTAATCATTCAGGAAAGACTTTGCTAGAATGTTATTTCAGAATACAGCACTGTAAACATTTGAGGTGCTATGACTCCATTCAGCACAGGACAGGGATTCTTAGTTCATCCTTCCTGCAAACTCAGAGATTAGTTCATTCTCTATAAAGAGCTTTCAGCTCACTGGGAGAAGAGTGTACAAGGGCAGATGAAGTGTTTAGGCTGTGATTTATATTTGCACATTAATCTCCTGAAGTACACATCATCCTGATTTGAAACGGGGCCAGGATGCTAAGTCTCACTCTGCGTCGGGAGCCCTGCCGCCCGAGGCATTTATAAGTCAGTGTCAGCACGACGTTGATTTAATACCTGCCCTGACGTAGTTGTTCCGAACCAGAGAAGGGAAGGGGGTAATAACAGGCTACTAGGCCTACGCTGAGATGCACCTACTGAGTAGGGCAAATCCATAGGTTCTGGAAAAGACCTCCTACCCACTGCCTTTCATGACAGAGTTAACACTATCTTTTCTTTAGTCCTCTGAGGCTTGGAACGTGGAGTTTTATTTTCATTAATCATCAAAGAGCTTGACCTAAGAGACTAAGAATTGAGGTAAGGATTACAGAACTCAGAAATATGGTACCAACGTGAATGCACCTGACAACTCCCACAAAGATTTTCTAAATGCCTACCGTGTTCCAGGAGCTTTTCTGGGTGCTGAGGATACACAGGGAACGAAGGAGATAAAAATCTCTCCTCATGTAACTGACATTCTCATCGAGGAAGCTTCCACCATTCCTGCCAGGATCATGCCCTTACTTATCAAGTTCCTGTGTATGAGACACTCTGCTTGGTGCTGGGGGAGACCAAGTCACATTAGAAAGTGTCCCCTACCTCAAAGCAGTGGGAATCCCGAGAGAACCATCCCTTCCCGAATACGTGATAAGAACTGACTTAGAGACAGGTTAGGGTCCTCTGTGGACACGGAGGAAGCCTAATCACGTAAAGTTAGTGTAAGCAAGCTTTTTCTGTAAAGAACTAAGGAGTAAATATTTTAGAGTTTGTGGGCTGTTTGGTTTCTGCCAGAACTAGTTAATTTTGCCCCTGCAGGGCAAAAACAGCCATTGGCAATCTGTAAATGAGAAAGCATGTGTGTGTCCTAATAAACTTTATTTATAGACATTCAAATTTAACATTCCAGAGTTAACGTTCCTCTTTTGATTTTTTTCTGACCATTTAAAAATGTAAATGCTTTTCTTAGTTCACAGGCTCTACAAAAAATAGGTGTTGGATGGATTTGATTTGTGAGCCACAGTTTTCCCTGTGGACCCTTGACCAAAAGCAGATAAGGACTCAAGAAAAGTTTCTCAGGGGAGGTGCCTGGGTAGCTCAGTGGGTGAAGTGTCTGACTCGTGATTTTGGCTCAGGTCATGATCTCAGCGTTGAGAGCCCCAAGTTGGGCTCCATGCTGGTTGTGGAGCCTGCTTGGGATTCTCTCTCTGCTCCTTCCCCACCTCTCTCTCTAAAAAAGAAAAGAAAAACAAAACGAGAAAAGAAAAGCTTCTCCGAGACAGCGACACATGATTTTTTATCCAGGCTAAAAAAGGAGTCAATTGATGGGGTTAGGGAATAAGGAAGGATATATATATTTTTAATTTTATTTATTTATTCATGAGAGACACACACAGAGAGGCAGAGAAATAGGCAGAGGGAGAAGCAGGTTTCCTGTGGGGAACTCGATGCAGAACTCGATCCCAGGACACCGGGATCATGCCATGAGCTGAAGACAGGTGCTCAACCATTGAACCACCCAGGTGTCCCAGTAAAGAAGGGTATTTATGTTTGAGGAAACAAGACAATATATAAAATAATTGAAAATCATAGGGCTTAATGTAATTCTGTAAGAACAAGGATTTGGTAAAGAGTTAATATTTCAGTCTTTTTTCTAGTATTGATAATTTTGGTGAATTAAAAATAGAACTGTATATTTTCTGTATGGTCTTTTTTTTTACAAAAATAGTATGTGATCATTAAGAAAAATCAGAATATACAGATAAGCAAAAGGATGTAATGAATCCTCATATTCCCACCCACACAGAACAACCACTGATGATCCTTTAGTGTATATCCTTTTAGGTTCTCCTTAAGGCATATCTATATATACAAATTACTATGTTTTCTACAGAAAGGAGAAGATAGCATATATACCATAATATAACCCACTATATTTTATGTAAGAAAGTTCAATAATTGTTGGATATTTAGGTTATTTTGATTAGTCCTCTGATGTTGGATATATAGTTGTGTCAGCCTATCCCTTTGAGTTATTCTGACTTGTGACTCTTCCAGAAGGCCCTTAGAAGAACTGATGAATGATTGACAGCTACAAAGCCATCTGCCAGATGGACAAGAGTGGTGAGCCATCATTGTGGTACACCAAAACTGGAAATTAGGTTTCAACCAAATTGTCATTTTTACCAACTTTCTCTCAGCCAAATTATATGCCTATCTGAACCGCGGATGCATGCATTAGTTAAGATGCTTTCAAAAAAGTTTGTACAATTTTCTACTTCTGAATACAAAAGGCTGGGATGAATTAAGAGTTACAGAAGCCCAACCTGAACAACTTGCTGCAAGTTAAGGAATGTGGACTTAATTAGGAAAGTCCTGGGAGCATCAAAGAATTCCAAGAGGAGGAGAGACATGATGTTTATATAGGTTTTCAAAATATGACCTGTGTAACCAAGAGAAGGATGGACTCCATGAAGTCCAAGCTGGTGACAGGAAGACCAGGCAGGAGACCATTGTAATCATTTAAGAGTGAAGCGATACAAACTTGAACTGTGGACACTGCGTAAGTGTAAAGGGGTCCAAACAGATAGAGCAGAGACCAAGAAAGCACCTACTCCACCGAACTTAGTAACTGGGTAGGTGTAGGGCAGGAGGCAATGAAAGGAGCCTACGCTGACACTTGTGTTTGAAAGTTTGCATTATGCCACTTCGCTTTTATGGAACACATATATTGGTACCCGTTTTCACTGACCAAAGGGACTCCAAAGAGGATTTTTACCTTTACAGAAGTGAGGATAACATGCAGTGTTTGTTTTGCAGCGAGCTGTTAACAGAGGCAGCGTGCACCTCCACCACCAAGTTCTCTCCCCAGGACCTGCACTTGGCATCTCAACATCGAGCCTTCTTGGCTTTGAACCATGTCTGTGAGCATCTGTGCTTTATCTCAACTTATTTTGTGCATCTCTTAGGAAGATGTGTAACAGAAGAGCCTCGGAGAGGTTATTTTGTGGGTCTGGGAGTACTCACAAGCTGTTCCATATAAATTAAGTCATTGCTGCTTTGCTTTGGGCCCGTTCTGCTTACGGAGGCTTTTATAGGATGCTCTGCTGTAGGATAAGTGAGGGAAACTTGTGTGCATATTCTGGAAAAGTCAGCTGGAAATCTCATTCCATCTCTGTGACAGGCCATGGTCTTCTGCAAGATTGCTGAGAATTCCTGGGATGGAAGAGTATTCCTGCTCATAGTCCCTGCACCTTGCAAACCCATGGACTTAATGGCCTTGTTCCAAAGTCTATTCACCTAATGTGGCAATTGACCTGTGGCAGTCAGCCCTCTCTCCCCTTTTCCACAGACTCAACATTGTATGAACATTTAAGGAGACAAAGGAAGGGTTGACATGGCAGCTACACAAACGACTTCAAATCAAACATGAGACATTACTGCTGTGAAAAGTCCTCGACGGTCAGAGATCTGCCCCCCCCCCCCCCCCCGGCCACTGGCTATTTCATCCCACTTTGTTGTCTCTGTTTTCTTG